TCTTTCATTTATTTATTTGTTGCGCTCAGCTGTTTATTTGTTGCGCTCAGCTGGCTCGCTACATTTAAAGGCATATGAGCAGAATCATAGCACAGAAACAAGCAGAACCAAATGAATCGAGTCAAGCGGTTCACATGGCTATTCTGATGAGCTACAAAAACAATCAAACTAGGAAAACGGAGAGTTTTCCAGTGGCAGACTCGTTAGATCTGTTAGACTTTAGACTTATTTATGAATTCGGCGAAGTCATGAACTACCAGTTAAGTCCATCCACAGCCACATGGAGCGTGAATAAGGCTACTGACCATGTCCGAACAGCAGCCAATTGGACCGCATAAATCTGCATCATTCGGCTGTGTTGCCCTACAGCCACATGCGGGGTCATAGGAACTTACCGGAATCCCGAAAGCGGATAACAACCGCTCACGTGGAATCGGTAAACTGAGCGAGAGCTATGTGTAGGCTACTGAGGCGATCAAGGGAAGGGGAGAGATGATATCTACTTCTTGTCTTTTTTGTCTTTACTCGGAAGGAGGGTCTTAGCGAGACTCGCTTTCGTAGTGTTTAACAGAAATTTAACACATCGCGATTGCATGCAATGATCACCTGAGCTGCAGCAATCTGACAATCTGACAGAGCGGATGGTCGTCTGGAGTTGTTTCTTCCTTGTACTCAGTGAAAAGTTCTTCTCGGCAAATATAGCGTCTGGTAACGAGAACTAGGTCCCTGGGTGAACCTTGCTCATAACTTCTAAATTCCCTCAAGGTAAAGGCGCCTGCATGGCCAAAACAGTGTGCTCGAGAAAAGTGTCTCACTGTGTTATGAGGGGAGGTGGGTGGGGGTCCGCATCGATGTAGGTGTTTCAGTTGCTTATGGGGGAGGGCCCCTCACAGCGGGATGTTGCTGGTTTACTGCTGGCCCCGTCAATTGACGACCAAATTCTATTGTGATAAACTTCAATATAGCCCGCGTTATGATCAAATTCTTCCTGAATAGCGCGATTTCTCGCGCTCCACGACACCAAAATCAGATTTCACACCCAATTCCTCAATTCTTGTGCACGACGATGACGCGCTCAAATGCTAGCCTTCTGAAAGAGCAGGATCGGGAAGCTGCCCAGTAGATGGGCAGGTCTCGTGGACTTCGCTGTTGATTACCACAGCTATTGAAGACCTCGTTTAGTAAAGGAATATCCGCTTTGTCATACTGTCGCAGGACTTTTCTACCGATCTGGTATGTAGGTTGGAAACTCTTCGGAGCGGGTTTGTCAACTCATTCAGTCAAAAACTGGTGTAAAAACCGATGTGTGGATAACATTAGGCATCTCAGCAGTGGAAAGTTTCACCTTCAGTGGATCCTAATCTTTTTCTATTGTTTCGCAAATTTTTTACTTACAGCTAGTTAGAATGTCCGAGGACAATCTCTATCTCAATGTCTTCACGCCAGTGTGGAATCCGAAAAAGGAGTCAGGATTCCCCGTTCTGGTATTCGTCCATGGAGGTGGTTTTGTCAGCGATAGCAGCGTGAAGTATGGCGACGTCGGAATCTGCGAGCATCTGGTATATCACTCAAAATTTCAATCTCGATCTGGAACTCTATTTCTCACACCTTAAACGGCTTATCTTTTCGCTTCCTTATGGCAAATGATTGTGTTTAGTGCACTAAAGACGTGGTGGTTGTAACTATTCAATATCGCCTCGGACTCCTCGGGTTCTTCTCCACTGGGGACGAGCATTGCCCAGGAAATCTCGCGCTCTGGGATCAAACCCTTGCTCTGAGATGGATTCAGGTAAATTTCCTCAGTGGCTTAAACTCCACTCAGGTCAGTCTTCGAAGATTTAATAGCTGCTCTCGAAGGGACTTGTTTACGTTTTTGACTCGAAGTCGCACTCTGAAATTACGAAGTGTGGGTGATGGGCTTCACGAGATCAAGCGACAGCAATTGCTGGGTTCTAGCTGGCTTCTGCAGTAGAGTCAACTATATGTAGTTCAACCGTGAACAGCATTGCAGAATAGCACTCCGAAACCGGAAAAAAGCCGCCGAAATTTCTTTGAACAGGGCCCAGACTCATTTTGAGCGCAAGACAAGCGAGCGACGGGGAATCCTACTCCACGGCAGCACATTTATTTGGGCAACGTACCGACATAGCCCTAATAAGACCGAACAATAATTTGGTACTCACTCCTTGTGCAATAAGAAAATAATTGACGCCGAAAAAACATTCTGCTTTATTAGGACCATCTGTCTGGGTACTCGTACCATTGCGTTAAATCACATAACGGGGGGTAGCTTGGCGCTGTGGAGGTGGGGTCGTTATTTGTCGCTGCTGGAAGATGGAAGTCGCTATGTGCCTTTGAGAGAAATTTGCCGCGTTGGGAAAAAATTTTTTCCGTTTCTCCTGTTTCACATGTGCTATTTATTAGGTCATCCCATTCAAAAGTGCCGAGACATGTAGAGGAATGGCAGAAAAGCAAAGGGGATAGGGCAGTGGGCTACTATACATTTGGAACTTTAGCCCTCTAGCTGATGTAACTTTCGCCACGAAATTTGGTGAACCTGCCCACACAAGAAGTTCTCGAGAAATTGAAAAGAAGGCCGAGTGGTGAGAATCAGCCGTCGGATTTTCAAATCAGGCGTCATAAGAAGAAAGTGCGCTGCTCAAATTTGAGACCTGCGCCAGACCAGTAGTTGTGTGTAATGGTGTTCTCAAAATACAAGGTGGAAGATTTGGTTCAGGAGCCCGAAGAGAAGAGAGGGAAAATTTTGTTGTCGTGGATGCTCCTATAATGTTCATCCTGCACAAGATAAAAGGGTGGGTGATTCAACTGCGCTGAGTGTCTGATCACAGAAGAGTCTGGACCTCTTGTCGAGGCTTCGCCGCGAGATCTGACATCGCTGCTGCAATGTTTCTGCTAACTGAGTTATGGTCAAGAGAATGTGCGCCTGGTACGCTAAATTTCTCGTAAAGTTTTGACGGCAGTACCGATGTCGTGGGCCTCTAGCAGTATGTTCTCAGCATGAGTTGTCATTCACGACTGTGTAAAGGCACCCTGGCCCCTAAATGAAATGTGAGTGGTCTTGGACTTCGAGCCAAAACCCACAATCGTCACATTTGTATGAATGCATTTGAGAAGCCGCCCGAGTTCTACCATGAGGAGGTATGTGGTCCATGTGGATGATCGTCACATCGGACGGCACTTCGGCATCACGCACACAGTGCCGTCAAGCCGTTCTAAGTACAGTCGAATAAAATTGTTGTTCGGTGTATATTGCCTGTTCCTCGGCAATCAGATCGACAAATGGATGGTACCACACAACTACAAGAAGGCCACCGTTGCTCGTCATAGTGCCGTGAACGCCCGAGTAACTGTTATTGTACGGCGCAGTGCTGGGACACATACTGTTGAATCCGGAGGTAGTAGGCAGAATCGGCAGTAGAAGAATATTTATTAGACGAATGAAACTCAACAAAACAGTGGGGTTTATATACCCCCGATATGATATCAACATTTAGGCGGAAAAACTGTTTCACTTTTCCACAGGCACGGTGTCGGCCTATCCAACACCTCCCCCCTAAGATGGACACTCTAGGTGTACGTCTTCTTCCTCGGGTCGATAACCAATCGTTGCGGTGCACGGCGTACTCTTGCTGCTTTTTCTCTTGAGGCATCATTTGTCGTGCATGTAGAGGTGTCGATCGTTGGTGTGGTCTGCAGGTTGGTGGCGGCTGTAGTGGTAGTTGGTGGCGTCGAGCATGGAAGCAACGGCAGTTCGGAAAGTTCGATGTCTGGCTCTGTAGTACATGGAAATTTGATGAAACGAGGACGCAATTGGTTAGCGTGCCGTCTCCATATTTGTCCATCTACTGAGACATCATAGAGCCTGTTGCCATGTCTTTGCTGTATATGACCGGGCATCTGTCGTGGTGTTCCAGAACGATAATCCATTGTCCAGATTGAATCACCGTCGGCACGTTAAACTCCTTCTGCCGTGCTCCATGGTGGCGATTGTATTGGTCTTCCATCTTCTTGTTTTGCATCACTTCTTTCCGAGTGGCGGACGGCCTCAGGAGGCTGAGTTTTGTCCGGCAATCTACTCTTCCGTGAGAAACGCTTCATGCTAGAGATGAATTGTCCCTCCTCCTGGCGTCGAAGGGCAAGGGGTTCGGCGGTAGTTCAGTAGAAAGTTTTGTAGTGCTTCACTCGGCGACGAGGTTTCCTTCATCTTCGCGAAACTCCTTTTAAAAGTATCTACGAAGCGTTCTGCCTGGCCGTTAGACTGCGGGTGGAACGGAGGTGACTTGATGTGTCTTATACCGTTCTTCTTGCAGAACTCGCTGAAGTCGTTGGAAGTAAATTGAGGTCCGTTGTCCGTCACTAGCGTTTGTGGATTTCCGAATTGGGCGAAGAGTCGACGCAATTCTCTGATCGTGCTGCTCGTTGTCGTAGATGCCATTTCGACGATCTCCGGCCACTTTGAGAAGGCATCAACGATGATGAGGTACATCTTCCCCTCCATCGGTCCAGCGAAATCGGGCGTGTATCGCGATCCCACGGTTTCTCCTCCATCGGCCATGAGCAGAGGGTTGCTTTGATAGGGCTCTTCGCAGTTTCCTGGCAGCGGCGACAAGATCTGACGAAGTCTTCGATGTCGTTGTTGATGTTCATCCAGTACACGAAATTCCTGGCGAGCATCTTCATCCGTGTCATTCCTGGGTGCCCATCGTGAAGTTCGCATAGTACGGCATTTCGTAAGGTTGCGGGAATGACGAGGCGATCTCCAAAAAGTAGACATCCATTTTGTGTCGAAAGGGATCTTCTTAGGGAGTTGAATCGGGTTGCGACATCCGACTTCCTTGGCCACTTTCCATCTCTGATCCACTCGAAAATATTCTTCAGATCGGGATCCTTCTTGGTTTCTTCTGCTACTGTTTCAGCGTCGACTGGCAGTTTCGTCGTTGCGTTGGCGAAAATAGTCGTCGCATCCATCTCGATCGCTGCAATGACTTGGTCTTCTTGGGTTGTAGATTGCTCAGCGATGAGGCGCGATAAGACGTCTGCTTGTCCGAAACTGGTGCTGCTTCTGTACTCAATACTGAAGTCGTAGCTCTTCACTATGAGGGCCCAGCGTTGCAGTCGATTCGCCGTGTAGACAGGCACTCCTTTCTTGCTCCCAAAGATGGCTAGGAGTGGCTTGTGGTCGGTTAACAGCTTGAAGTGACGTCCGAGGATGTAGCGGTGGAACTTCCGCAGAGCGAACGTAATGGCGAGAGCTTCCTTCTCGACTTGACCGTAGTTCTTCTCGGCAGCTGTCAGGGAACGGCAAGCATGGTGTATCGCTTTCTCTATTCCATCCGAGAAGCGGTGACTGATCACTGCTCCTATCCCGTACTCCGATGCGTCGGCCGCGATGACGATCTCCTTTGTGGGATCGTAGTGGGTGAGCAGTAGGTCCGAGGCTAGCACATCCTTGGCGCGTTGGAAGGCATCTTGGCACTCGGCAGACCATTTGAACGACGCATCCTTCTTCAGAAGAGCATCCAACGGTGCACGAAGTTGTCGCATCTCGCTGACGAAGTGGCCGTAGTAATTGAGCATTCCCAAGAACGATCGCACCTGGGCAATGTCCGTGGGCTGTGGCATCTTGCGGATAGCCTCGATCTTGGCGGGATCGGGTCGGCGTCCGGTTGAATCGATAACGTTTCCCAGGTATCGGAGTTGTGGCATCAGGAAGTTACATTTCTCGATTCGGACGCGGAAGCCATAATCGGATATCCTTTCCAAGTTTGGCGACGTGCTCCTGATAGTGCGGGCCGGTGACGGATAACGTTCGGGATCGAGGTATGCAGCGCAGCGTTGGAAGGCCGCCAGATCATGAATCAGATGATCTGCTAAGAGAAAGATGCGGGCGCAGATTCTGAATCACACACACCGCGAGGCGCATTGCTAACGGAAAACGTCCCTCTGGCGTTAATTGCTCCAACTCAACTCTACGCCCCTCCGTGCGTCGACTCTCGACATTTGGAGCATAAGCGTCCCACCCCCCTGCGTAGTCCTATCTGCTGATGAAAGTCGGTCCCGCCATTTAATTTGGAGCAATCACGTCGTCTGCCAGACTGGCAGTGGATCGCTGGTGTACCCGCCATAGGGCATTGTTTAATCCCCAGCGTTGAAAAATCTACAGCCAACAGAGTCGTAGCGCTTCCATTTTGTTTTGCTTCACGAACCGCACAATAGGTTGCTGCCCAGCAGACAACTAGTATGACGCAAGAGAGCACACTCCTATCTCCGGGCAGCGAATCGATCTTCTGCGTCGCAAAGCCGTAATGTAGGCGTACGGGACAGGACAACGAAATTTTTCTTAAACACTCGGAATGGCACTGGCTTCAAACTCGGAGCGTCGCCCTTGCCGTCTTCGTACTATGTCCGGAGTCCATCTTTTGAATACATCGGCGGAGTCGGTCATTCAACTTGGCAGACGAATCGATCGTCTCGAGCCGGCAGGATCAGCACGACGCGGACCCAGAGGTAGTCACACCATTGATGTACTATCCCACGCTGCGTTCTACCAAATCTGGATCTTCTAGCAACTCCAACCGAATAAGATCGAGACTTTCGGTGACGTAGCAGAACTTGTATCGTCACAGATGCAAGCTCCATTCCATCGGACTCTTCACACGCCAACCTCAACCATAAGACTACGCGACTCCAAATCTTGATCGGCGATCCTCACTACAATACTGGCCCACAAGCAAGATTTACGATTGCGTTGTAATCTAAATTACAAAAGGTGATGCGCCTTTCCGCATTTATTCCTCCAGCTCGACCTTGAGATCAGAGTGATCATGGCGCCAGTATCGAGTAGAAGGTTCAGAGAACGTCCATTCACTTCGACTTGTAGGTGTGGCTGAGCGTTCTTGCGTAGAGCGGCCTCAATGCTCCTGATCTGGTAGCTCCTTGCACCGCGACGTC